TTTAATTTCTGGTCCTGCCTAAAAACAGTTTGTTTTGACCATTAATGCCATATATGGCTTGGCACCAAAGTATTTTAGGACTACCTCCTCCACCTCGTTTCAACTCATCTGATTCAAACATCTTAAGAGAATTTGCTTGTGATTCCCCATTTTCATGATGTAAAAAGTATGTATGTGTGAAGGCTTATAGTGGAACCTTCTCAGTGAGCGTATCTACACTTTGAAATAGTCTTCCCCAGAAATTCAGTCTGCCTCCACCCTACTTGTTTTCTGTATGGTATTAAGAATAGAGTTACTTTGGAGAGTCTTGGGAAGGTAAATTGGTGCCATGAGATTGAATAATCATTTGATATTGTTTGATTGTTTTTATTTTTTACTGTGGATGTATATGAACTGCTCTGTTTTAATTGTGGTGGAAGAGAGATCAAATAAATAGCTTCTCCTCTTGGTTCTGCCCTGCATCATGAATTCCCTCTACAAATAGCTGATTTCAGACAATTTCACGGGAAGTGTTTCTTTGACACTTCCCTCCTCAACACTTGTGCATCTGTATAAAGATGAAGAGCTCATCTCCAGATCGTTTGTATCTGAGATACATGATCCAGCCATGAAGCATTAAGACACATGAACATATCCAAACATCTCTCAGTATAGAAGGCAGTGTCATGATTACGTTTCCAATACTGTCCCATGACCAGACTGGTCAGATTATATTAGACAGTTCCACAATAGTCTAGTGTGTAAAAAAATGGTACTCCTTCAATTTTTATCCTGGCAAACCATAAACCTGGAGATAGCAACATCCTCACTGATTGGTTCTGCCATACCAGAAAGCTAACCAAAAATGGAAACAGACTCTGTCAGATCCCACTGTCACAGCCTCAAACTCAATCTGTGTGCATTGTAAGACAACAGGTAATGACTGACTTTTTGCAATGAGATGGGTTAGACCTCCAGTCTGTTAGTGACTTCTTCCTTTTTTCTTGAATTGATTCCCATTCTGCATGTTTTCACCCATTCCACTGTTGGTCAGAGTTCTGGTGAAGATAAAGATTTAACCAACTTCATTCTTATCACACCTTGGTAGCCTCAGCCATGGTTCACCCTGTTGCTCTGTAGTTTGCCTTGTTGTACCATCTCACTCATTGGGACCACCTCTGCCTTCTGAGTCAAAGTCTCCTTTCTATCCATCAGGGACACATCTTCCCTTCACAGCTTGGAAGATTTGATTCTGTTATCTTTCTGGAACATACAGCAGGTTACACTGGCTTTTTGGAAGCCTCCACCACAAGCTTTCCTGTGCAGCTAATTGAAAACCTTTTAAAGTCTTAAAGCTCTCTTAATCGCCTGGAATCCAAAGTTTAGAGGAATAAGATGCCAGGAATCCCAGGCTGGACATAATACTGCAGATCGAACTTCCATGATTTCTTTAGCTATTTCTACTCATAGGAAATACTGAGCAGGCAGTGTATATCAGCTTGCGTGGGAACTAGGCTTTGCACCTCAAAATCAAACAGGATACCAGATTTGGCCATTGCCAAAACAAGAACAGATGGACATTCCCTCCCTTTTAGCCCTTTATCTAGGACAAGCAGGAGAAAGAAGTGCAAGAATTGGAACATCAATTGCAGTATAAAAATAGAACAGCAGTTGCTAGAATTCTTTCATCATGGCTTCTTAGCTTTTCTGAGGATACGTTTATTAGCACCAAGATACTGATTTCTTAAACTGTAATTAAGTGTCCAATTGTCCTTTTTCTGAGGATTAGCTACATTAGTCTGCTGCAGCAAAAATGACAATTGTGTAGCATTCAGAGATTATATCATAGTATACATATTTGTAGACTACAGCTTGCTGTAATATATGGGATATTACCTGGAGCAATCAATTATATGCCCATAGTTGGAGGGGATGGGGCTAGGAAATAGTACCGCACATGCGTTTCTCTCCCTGACTCCAAACTTTGACAGTATAATACTCTATAAACTTGATGGAATGATTTACGAAACGTAAACGTGTTATGTCATAATAATTAGTCAACAGACTCTTTATTATTTCGATTTAATCTTGCCTCTAGATCGGACATTCAAAATCTGACCGTATTAAGCAACAGAACTTCATTGTGGGGTCTGTTTCGTAATAGTGTTAGTAACGATTTAAATGTAATGAAACTTCTTTTCTGTTTGTGCACCTATTAGGGCTACAAAAATGGACCTTAAGTGTTCTTTGGAAGAGTGCTCAGTGGCATTAAATTTATTTCTTAACAACAAGTTTTCAGAAGCTTTGGAATTACTTCGGCCATGGTGAGTTTTGTTTGCTGGAGTTGCCATCTGGTAGCTAGAAATTAATTTAAGGCCTCTGAATAGAGTCACTTTCATTGATTTAATTTCTGGTCCTGCCTAAAAACAGTGCTTTTCCCACTCTCTAAAGCAGAGCTTCTTGCTTCTTCAACTGTGGGTGAGAGAAGGGTCACAAAACGTTTTTAAATGTTGCCTCAGGCATGGCAGTCAAACTCAGACCTTGAGTATTGCTGAATATACAACACAGTTTTTCACCTGATTCCGTTTCCCAGCAGAGGCATAAGGCTTCCATGAATCGATATTGTGTTCTTTAAACCAGTATTTTTGAACTAGTTTGATGAGCTTTTAAAATACTCCCATATGTGTTTAGTTTGCAAAATATTTAAATTTTATTCATTCAGACCTGTTATTTGGTCAGAAATGTTAAATTTTCCCCCCAAAACTGTGTTTTTGTTTGGAGCGTTTTATTTTATAAAGTTGTAAGATTCTTTTGTTATTCTTTTTGACATAAGACTAAAATTTAATTATTAAAAGTGGCATAATTATTTCTTGCCAACCCTAGCCTCAGTGAGGTAATTACTTTTATGGGGAGACAGGGAGCCACAATGTTGCAACATTTGGGAACCCCTGATCTAAAGTGTTCTCATTTTTTTCACTTAAAATTAATGACTATTTTAACTCAAATTTTGATGTATGCTGCATTATTTTATATATTCTTGGGAAAGCAAATAACACAAAGGAGATTGGACTCCAAAATAATTCCCAAATAAAGAAAATACATAATTTCAAGCATTTTATGGGGATAAATGGTCATGGTGACCACATTCAAGAAAACGTTATGTTGAATACAATGTAGCATTTTAGGAGTAAACTGTTCTATAAACATTATGTAAAATTTGAATCTTGTTTTTGACAAATGTAATTGGCTCTCTTCGCAAACTGACCTTCTTTATTTTATATTTTATTTTCAAAATAGGTCTAAAGATAGCATGTACCATGCCCTAGGATATAGCACCATATTAGTTATTCAAGCAGCAATGACATTTGAACAGCAGGATATCCAGATGGGAATTTCTACAATGAAAGAAGCTTTACACACTTGCCAAAAGTAAGATGGAACAATTCTATGACATTGTTGCAGGGTTCACATTATCAGGATAGGATTATGTTATTATATAATGAAAAAAATACAGTACTATATGCTATCCAGTTTCATTTATCTAGAGCTCTAGTTAATTTGGAAAGAGGCATTTGCTCTTTTAACAGAGAAGCTCAAAGTTTTCATTACCTATTGATTTTTATGTTATTTTTATAACAATGAAATTGGATGAAGGAGTAATGGCAATTTTCAAATTTTATATATGCTGTAGATTCCATTGAGAAATAAACTGGATCTATGGTCTATCATCCCCCTGCCCTCCTTCCCAAAATCAAGTAACATCTTTGCTGCATTTTAGAACTTTACTATGTATATCCCTCAAATGGTAACATTGCACTAGTCAAGTAATTGAGATCGCCCAAGAGCTTGTTCTAGCTATCAAATCACATAGGGTAAATCCACATAGCCACCTTGTCCCAGAGTGAGGACAGCCCAGTAAATATTTCTAGAGGACATGTCTGCAGGCCACCACCTGTATCTCACTGTCTACTCACAGCTAAGGCAGCCCAAGGTGCTCTGTTCTGGAAGTGGTGTCTCTCTTATCCTACCTCCAGACACTGCATGCTGATGCCCATTGGGGAAGCTCACTCAAAGGATGGGTTCTATGGCAGCAAACCGGTGGCTCCTATGATTCTGCTAGCTCCCTATGGGACTGTCCCCTTCCATCCAGTTGGACCTGTTCTCTCACCTCCTTTGACTGAGGAAGATTGGAGACCTGGCTTCTGCAGCCACATTTTTTTTCTATTTTAAATGGTTTGTGCTAACGGGTCAGCTGGTTTACCTAGAGCAGTGTTTCTCAACCTTAGCAACTTTAAGATATGTGGACTTCAACTCCCAGAATTCCCCAGCCAGC